GAATTCCTACCATGCATTCTAGAGGGCTATATTTTGCAAAGAAACCCCAAGATCACAGTTAAACCTAAATAAAGATTGTAAATACCTGTAGGCTATGGTCCAGTAGACTGGAAGACTGCAAACTCTGACACTTAGGATGTGTCATTGATCTCATTATCTCCATCCAATATTCAGGGAAAGTAAGAGCTCAATAAATCTTTCTTGCACTCAGTTAAACTTATGTGACAGAGGAGGCCTAAACAGTTAACTCTGGTATAAAGAATAATACTTCTTTCCTCAACCCACCTTGAATAAGTAAAGGCAAAGTATTAATTACGTCTTCAAAGGGAAAGTGCTGTAAATCCAAGGTAGTGTTAACATTTTCATTGATAGTCCAGACTTTCTTGTCTACTTGTGATTAAACTACTCTCTAGACTTTGAAGGAAAGTGAGCAGTACTTAGATCTGGCTCTGCCCCACCCTAATTCTGACATCAGGAAGGGTCACAAGTGGCTGGTCCGTGGAATTACTAGAGACAGGGTGAAAAGGAAATTCACCAGGAGACCATTCCAAAATCTAACTTTGGTTTTCAGCATAACATTAGGTTGTTGAAGAAGAACATTGCCAACAGGCCCTTCTGGCAAAAAGAAATATAAAATGAGGTGTTCTATTTTAAGAAAAAATAGGCCCATAAAAGACAAGCTATCGTGTGTCCTACATAGGGACAATGAGACATATTAAAAAAATTATTTGGTATTTATCTGAAATTCAAATTAAACTGGGACATCTAGTTTTTTTTCCTTTCTAAATCTGGCAACCCTATATTCATATGTTCCTGATCACCAAGAAGCGTAATATACACTATTCTGGTGGTAATAGAAAATGGTTATGTCTAATTCAAGTTTGTTCTACATTTTTTGAATTACAAGGCAGTGATAACCCAACTGTGCTAAGGGATTGTTTATAGAATTGTGAAATTAATACAGGATTATTGTAAAATTTTTAATTAAAAAACTACTCACAGCACCATATATGTCTCACCAAGGAACTTTCATTATTGCTGAAGTAAGTTGATATGAGCTCAGTTAAATACCCACTATGACACGTACCTCACTTGACTTAGGCCCAGAACAGTCACTGCTGCACTTGATAAGACATTGAGCGGCACTGGAAATTTTTTTCTGGCAGAGCGTTGCATGTGGTTATGAGATGGGCATACCACCTTTTTGTGTTTTGGGGCATCTGAAATCGAGGACTTCAGAATGAGACATCAATCTATTTCACATACTACATAATAATGTTGAAGCAATTTTATTTCTTTAAAAAAGCACTACAGGATGGATTAGAAGATAATACATTTTTGACATTATGGGACCTTCTAGAGTCCTGGATTTCTCAAAATGATTGCATAGCAGTCTTCTTTATAGTTTTCCTAGGAATTATTTTTGAGATAGTACTCATAAAGATTTGTACATCCTTTCAGAAGAAGCCTACGCTTGCAGAAAAGGGTAATTCACATGCCCAGGAGGTAAGAACAAATGGTTGATTTCCTTCTTCCCTATTTCTCAAAATCACACATAAGAATAACTTATAAAGTTGTGGAACCTTGATATTTGGCTTACTCCTCTAACATTTTATTGTTTCCCTTGAAATAGAAGGAAGACAGTTGCCTGAAAAGCATGAAATTTGGTAAATATACAATTTCATATTTTAATATAAAACTTGTTCAGCCTGAGCTTTTCCCATTGGTGCTCTGACTTTTTTTATTCCCATTTATCTCTAGATAATTGGTCAATTCATTCATCTTCAGAAGAAAGGTAAGTGATATTTTTTGAAATTAAATGAAATAGGTTGGTTTTGTTTTTTCAAAATTGCGTTCACATCTGAATAACAGAGAAGGGTTTCTCCATATATATAGAGGACCACAGTTGCTCAACGTCATAATTCAGTCTAGCATTGATTTTAAATGGTCACTCTGTTCCAAGCTGTGTTAGTGGCTTTTCATATATTATTGAAAATATCCTTCCGGGTAGGTAGTATTATTACTGTTTTTACAGATGAGGAAAATAAAGCTTAGAGAGATTAAATAATTTGTTTCCCTACTTCAACCTCTCTCTCTAGTACACACAAAGACATAGGAAACATCAGTTCTGATAATTCAACTGAAAAAATATTTATTTAGCAGCTACTGTGATCCAAGCAAACCCCTAGCTAGGTGCTGCAGGAATGATATGAAAGGAATTTATACAATCAGAATTCATCAGCGTACTAAAGATATATCAGTGTTAGGGATTAAACACTGACAACACTAATCTTGTTGCTATCAATGTTTTAATTGTTTTCATCAAAATCCATTCAACAATCATTAGATATCTACTATACAGTGGACACTGTGTTTGATACTGGAATACAAACAATAAGATAGACACTGTTCTCAAGAAGTTTATAAGTTTCTATTCTTGTGGAAGAGACATGTACATTAAGAATGATTGCCTTGTAGTATGGTAACACAGTGACAGAAATACTATGGGAATATTTAGGAGATACCTAAGCCAGCAAGGGGTGTTGGAGATAGCTTCATGAAGAAGGTTATGCTGGAGCTGAATTTTAAAGGATGAGTGAAAATTAGCCAGAAAAAGACAGCAGGTTAAGAGGATAAGAAAGGCATTCCAGGACATGAGCTGAAGCAAGGAAATAAGAAACAGCAGGGTATATGCAATAAATTATGATTATTTCAAAGTTGCTGGAATGCTAAGGTTGAGTCAGGGAGTAGTGGGAGATGAATGTGAAGAGGCAGGCAGGAGTCAGATCATGAAGGGCTTTCTATACCCTGTTAAGAAGCTTGGACTTTATTCTGAGGATAGTTAGTAACCAGTGATGGTGGTTAAGCACAAGAGTGACACGGTTTTGTATTACAGCTAGATCACTAGTAGCTGTGTGGAGAATGAATCTGACAATTACTTGACTTTAATTTCTTTCATTTGTCAGGTGTAAAGGGGCTTTATTCATTTAATCTGGTTGCTCTATTTTCATAGCAACTCTAGTTGTAAGGTGGGTGTCATGGGAAGCAGTAACAATATCTGGAGGTATGAGTAGGTAGAAGCCTGGCCAGGGCTGGTTGGGAACAGGAACGCCAGTGCAAACTAGAGCACCTAAGTAATTCAGTCAGAGTAAGTGTTTATCCAGAAGTCAACTGGACAGACGAAGAGACAGTGTTTGAAATATACAGGGGTCAGATGTGCACTGTGACTGAAGGTTCACATATAATTAAAAACCAGAGGATTTTATAGGCAAGAGAGGAAGTCACAAGAAGCAATGGGGAGAAAAGGATTTTTAGCTTCATAGTCAAGGTGACCCCAAGAGTTTCCCTATCCCTGTGTGCCATTATTCCATTCCTGCTTAGGTGGGATTTAATCCTTAGGTGGCACCTGTCTAGGAGGCCTTAGGGGAAAGTAATTGAGAAGAAGAGATTGGGAGGGTGGTGTTGAGGGAAAAGGATTAGGGAAGAGATATGGTCCCTCTGGTGGCAGCATATTGTGGTGAAAAAACAAGGTTTTCAATTTAAAAAGGTTTAGGTTTATATCGTAGTTCTGCCTCTTAATAATGGCATGGTCTTGGCAAATGACTTAAACTCATTATACCTCCATTTCCTTACTTTCAAAATAGCATCTAGAAGAATTACCTCTTAGGAATATCATGAAGATTAGTTAAAATTGTATGTATAACAAAGCAAAAAATATTTTACCCTGGCACTAGAAATCCTTTTTGGGACAGAACTGTATTTCAGAGAGCATCTTACATTATTTTGAAATAAAAGGGCTTGAATATTGGTAGAAGCTCAAGCATCAAAATGATTAAAGTGTACCACATCAGAGACTGAGTGGATTTTGTCTTGCTTATAAGATGGGAGAGAAGAGAAAGGTGGAGGGGTGGGGAGAGAAGAGAGAGGAACAGGTGAAATGGTGTGAGGCTCAGGACTGAATGGCATAAAGGGTGTCAAGGGATGAGACCACCACTCAGTATCTGGAATCGGAGAGAGCTGTGCTGTCCAGGCGTAGTCTCAGTGAGCAAAGCAAACTGCTGATTTTACATCAGTTGAGTTTTGGGGAATGAATAGTTTCAGGGTTGACCTCAGCCTTAGAAGTATGTTCCTGGGAGAGTCTGCCACCAATTACCTGACTTTCAAAGCTTGAAGCTATCACCAACTAATTGGTTTCAGAAGCGTGTTTCCTGAAGCCAGTTATCATTAGTAGATAAAATTGTTTAAAAGCAGATTTGGTGTTTATTTGTCATTATGACTATAGGACTATACTATGACTATATGCCATTGATTGATTTGATTTACAACCACTTCTGGTACTTACTTGTTACCATGGCTATAGAACTATCAGTCTTTTCCTAGGAGTGTGGGGAGTTCTTTTCAAATTTTCAAAGGTCGGTTGAGGTTCTCAGGTGGGGAGAGGCCAAAGGACACTTCAAAAATAGAGAGACATGCCTAATGTTTAAGTGGGAGTTGTTTGTATTGCTGTAATCAACTCCCTTCTATTTCTGCCTCCAACTTTTTATTAATGTCAGCTACATGTATGAGTGGTTTGTGTATGTGGATTTTTTTCCCCCTCATTGAACTTGAGGAAAGGGTTCAGTTGTAAGTCTGGCTCAGAGTATTGTAAATGAGGGTTAGCAATCAGAAACCTAGAGGCAAAGATGACCATTCAGCAAGTATTTACTGAGGGCCTATGTGCCAGGCATTGTTCTAGGCCCTTGAGATACATAGGTGAACAAAACAGACAACGATTCCTACCTTACATTTTAGCTGGAGGGGAGTCTGATGATAAACAATAAGATGATGAATAAATAAATTATATAATATGTCAGAAGGTGATAAGTTTTTATGGTAAAACAAAAGATAGAATAGGGTAAGAGGAATCAGGGTGCCAGTAGTAGGGGAGGAGAGGTAGGTTTCAATAGATATGTAGGATTTGAGTAAAGCTTTGAAGAGATGAGGGAGTTAACTAAACAGATATGGTAGAAGAGTGTTCCAGACAAGGGGAGCAACTAGAGCAGAAGCCCCAAGGCGGGGGGCGGGGGTATGTGCCTGATGTTTGAGGAACAGTAAGAAGACCAAGATGGCTGATGCAGGGACGTGGGGTGACATACAGGGATGAGGTCAGAGAATTAATAGGCGACCAGATCACGGTTGGGCCTTGTAGGCCATGCTAAGGACAGTACTTTTACTCTGAGTAACAATGGGGAATTATTGTAGAGTTTTGCACAGGAGAACGATATGTTCTGTCATATATTTTTAAAGGATTATTCTGCCTGCTGTGTTGAGAATAGACTATATTTGGTCAAGGTTCTAAGCAGATGGCAGGCTATTGCAAGTCATCCAAGTGAGAGATAAAGGTGACTTAAACCAGGGTAGTAGCAGTGGAGGTGATGAGAAGTGGTTGGTTTCAGGATGTACTTAGAAAAGTAGAGCTAACAGGGTGTGAATGTGAGAGAGTGGAGGCAAAGATGACTCCAAGATTTTTGGCCTGAGCCGGGAGAAAGATGCAGTTTTCATCAACGGAGATGAAAGCTGTGGGTGGAGCAGGTTTTGATGGGGAGATCAGGAATTTTGTTTTGCATTTGTTGAATTTGAGATGTCGCTTAGACATCCAATAGAGATAGTAAGTAGTTTGGGAGAGATGTCTGGTAGAGATAATAAGTTTGGGGGTTGTTGGCATATAGACAGTATTAAAAGCCACAAGAGAGGATGAGATTACATAGGGATTGTGAGAAGGGAAGAGGAGCAAGGATTGAGTCCTGGGGCACTTCAAAGAGGTCAGGAAGAAGAGGAGGAACCAGCAAAGGAGACTAAGAAGGAGCTACCATTGAGTTAGGAGGAAAACCAGACCTGGAGGTTCACCAACTGGAGAATATGTAGAGCGGGAAAGACAAATAAGTATACAAGGTATACAAGATAGGTGTCAATATCCCTTATGAATGTGGATGCAAAACCCTCAACAAAATAAACCAAACCCAGCAGTATATTGAAAGGATTATACACCATGACTAAGTAGGATTTTTCCCAGGAATGCAACGTTGGTTCAATATATGAAAATTATCTAGCATTTTTTATTATGTTTAAAATCACAATATTACATGGTTGAAATATCTGTCTTGCATTTCAGCTTTCCTCTATCTTTTTTCCTGAAATGTGCAAAAATTAATTCTTTTTGTGTATGTTTTCACTATTTGTTCAACTTTCCTAAGTGAATAATCATACTCTTGTCCTGATGAAATGTTATCCTAATTATGTCTGGATACTGCTATAACTTGTTGGGGGTCACTTGATTCCCCATAATGCTTGTATATCTTACCTGTATCAGTTAGGATATTTTAATTCTCAAGTAACAGAAAACGATGATTTAAACTGGCGTACTAAGAAAAGAATTTATGATATCATATAATAGGAAATTTTGAGGTAGAATTGGCTGCATAATTGGTTGCTGCAGTGGCTTAACAACTTAATTAAGGTCCTGTATCACTCCCTTTGCCTTTTCAAAATTTTTCTTTAGTAATAAGGACAGACCTTGTTACCAAAGGTAATATAATACTAAAGGTAATAGTTAGATGTAATTGCCAGAGTTCTCCAGAGAAACAGAACCAATTGAAGATAGATAGATGGATAGATAGATAGACAGATAGATGTAAGAGAAGATTTATTATAGGAATTGGCTCACATGGTTATGGAGGCTGAGAAGTCCCATGATCTGCCCTCTGCAAGCTGGAGAACCAAGAAAGCCAGTAGTATAATTCAGTCCAAGGCAGAAGGCCTGGGGTGGGGGGTGCAGCACTGGTGTAAGTCCCAGAGTCCAAAGGCCTGAGAACCAGAAGCTCTGATATCCAAGGGCAGAGGATGGATGTTCCAGCTCAAGAAGAGAGGAGGAGAATTTGCTTTCTTCTGCCTTTTTGTTCTATTCGGGCCCTCAATGGATTGGATGATGCTTGCCCACATTGGTGAGGGTATATCTTCTTTACTCAGTCTACTGATTCAAATGCTAATCTCTTCCTGAAACACCCTCCAAACAAACCCAGAAATAATGTTTGCCCAGCTCTCTGGGCATCCCTCAGCCTACTCAAGTTGACACATAAAATTAACCATCACAGTAGGTAACAAAGATGTGTATACAGCCTATATATTAGATGTTAATAAATACTCTAACAGTTGAGGAATCTTGAAAACTATTTAACATATTTTAAATATCACCCAATATTTTTGTGTTATCTATGAAAAAATGTAATCAATAGTTTAGCCTAAAATACTCCTAATTCTAATTAGCAGAATCCAAATTAATGAGATTTTGCTATATAAGTAAACATTTAGAAAAAATAATTTTTATGGTTGAGTAGATTGTACGATTTTATATACTATCTTCATGACTTTGTTTATGATGGAGAGTTATTTAAAAGTAGGGCCATTTTTTCCAGTAGTAAAGTATAAGATAATCTGTGTTCCCTGAACAAACAGCTACTCGAGTTGTCTGACCTCGTTTATGTGAGTTTCAGTTTAGGATTTTAGGCTTGCCTTTCCATAAAACAAAATTTATGGTGCATCAGAATCACCTGGAGGGCTTATCAAAACTCAGATTTCTGGGCCCCACGACCAGAGTTTCTGATTCAGTAGGTCCAGGCTGGAGCCTGAGATTTTACATTTCTATTAAGTTTCCAAGTGATGCTGTTGGTCCTAGCATTGTTAGACTGAGCCTAATCATTTGATGTAGAAAGGGTGTTGGAGAGTCTACTTCCATGATCATTACTCCAATCCAAAATTGTGCTGAGAAGCACTGCCCTAAAAAGGAAAGCTTTTCCCTTGATCAAAAACAACCAGCTGTTAAAATAATCTAGACTTGTTTATAGAAAGCTATAGTTTGTGGTGTTGGACATTCTTCTGTTGTACCTACTAAATTTCCATGAGAATATTTTTATTCTTGTCAAAACTTTCATACAGAGAACAGAAAGAAATTGATATTCCTTATAAAAGGATATGATCTTAACCTACAACTTTGACTCATTGCTGTCAAAAATAGACTTTCGGACAAGTTTTTGAAGTAAAAATCCCTCATTCTCTGAGATATGAAAATAATTTACTTCATTTTTTCAGTGGATTTGTTTATTAAATGAATTGAACTAGTTAATGAATTATTTTGTAATGTGGATAATGGCTTTCCAATTTATCTCTATTTTGAGCTATGTTTTCCTATACTAAATTGGGTTTCTTTGAATCTAGAAAAGAGTTCTTGTATGAAATATATCCTAAGTGACAATTCATTTGCACACTGTTTTCTTATATTTCAGAGTTGATGACTTTTCAGAAGGAACAAGTACTTCATCACTTACATCAGAAGAAAATGAAGGTTACCTCGAAGATACAGTTTTATCAGCAGATGAAATAATATGGGAAGATACCGGTGAAAGTAAATATCAAGTAAGTCACTTTAGTGAAACTCATATGCTATCTTCAAATGGGACTAGCTCGTCTTTGTCACTGCTTCATTCAGAAGTAAAGGAAATTTCTCTAAGCCATAGAGGGAATCCAGAAAAGGAACATGAAGCAATACAATTTTCATCAAAGAAATTATTTTCAATAATGAAAGCCAACAAAAATAAAAATGTAGTGTTTTCTTCTGACTTGAACTTTTCAAGAACTTCTAGAATCACTATAGAAAGTGAAGATCTAGATGTGGCACCATGCCCTCCAGCCCATTTATTTCTTTCTAGAGACCAAGTCAGACTTCTGGAAGAAAATGTGAGAAATAAAATTCCTTTAAAATCCAAAGCTATCTTAGAGAGTAAAACTACTTATCTGTACTTAAGATCTCAAGAGTCCTTGATCCAGAATCAACATTCTGTTAGAATGGACATTTCTGCCCAAGCACAAGGTTCTTTTCCAGGACAAAATGCTATTCAGAATCAAGGTTTTTATGAAGCTCAATTTACTAGCCAAGCCCAACAATTTGTTAACAACCAAGAATCAATCAACAGCCAGCCTGATATAGAGGCCATGTACTTTGCTGTGCCTCAAGATTTGATGGAGAAACCATTTTCCAGCAGCACACAAGATTCCTTCCAGACCCAAGATATGGACAGGAGCCAACATTTGGTCAAAGTCCCACATTCTGTTCAGACTCAAGATTCAATCAAAGGCCTAGAATCTGATAAAAAACAGTTAGATGAGGCCCAATATTCTGTTTGGTTTGAAGATTCAAATAAGATTAAATATTCAATCCATGAGCAAAATACTATTTTTAAGAATGCTGGATTTCTAGTTTTAACTCTAAGTCCAAAATCAGTTGCTGAAAAGATGCCGCAACTAAAGAGTATAAAGCCAAAGGGCCAGAAACAAATTCCTCCATCAAAATTAAACCAGTATTCTGTGTATGGCTCAGTGCCTCTTTCACCCACCAGAAGAGAGAAAAACAGAAGAAAAACATTACACAGTAAAAGTAAATTTAGTCGCAAATTTTCATCTCAAACGTCAAAGAAAACACCAACTTCACAGGTATTTCAAATCATAGTATGTCACACTTCAAAACGTAGCAAGTTAGGATGCAAGTATAACACTAAGAAGAAAGAACTACATCAAAGGAAAGGTACATCAGATATAGCATTGCATCTTATTTATGTTTCCAAGCTTGTTTCTCCTTATATTAAGAAGTATTCTAGAAAAAAACTAGTGAAAGTTATGCCAGGTTTAACAGAATGTAGATATCTTGTGCTGAAGCAAAATAAGTCACTAGATGCAGAGAAAGTCAATTATGCAGAGTCTATTCAGAAAAGAGGAACCTCGGGCAGTACTAAAAATGTAAAACAGCATGGCAGAGACAAGAAAGGACTGAAAAATATTTCACTGAAAATTCTACCTCAGCTAAAACAGTATTCCAGGGTCAACACTTATCAACTAAAAGCACCTTGTTTTTTATTACTAGAAAGAAACTGGAAGAATAAAGAGTCTCTTAAAGACCCAATTACACAAGCAAAGGAAATTGGTATTGCAGAGTTTCATGCCCCAAATAGTAAAAAAACATCTGACCTGCCTATTGCAAAGCAGGAGATGCCTTTAGAAGAAGCTATATCAGAACCTTTGCAGAAATTTGTTTCTTCTCCAAAAATGGGATTGAACAGAAGAATGAAATCATGGGAAGACCTAAAAAGTACAGAGAATTCCCATCTTCCACTTTCAAATGGAGACAAGTTACCAACTAGTATGCCAGAAATGCAGAGGTGCTGTCCAAAGGTAAATACACAAGAACAAGAAGATTTTCTGGAAATTGTTCTGGAGTCTTCAGATGTCAATTTTCTCATTTCACTAGGAACCAAAAAGCGTGAAAGCAGTGAACAATTAGCAGGTGTAAAAACTCAAGAGAGTACAGAAGATGTAATTCTGAAGGCAAAGAAACCATTAATACTTAATGTTACAGAAGATAGTAATCTAAGTGAAAGTGAGGAACTGGAATGCAACGCTAGAAGCAACATAAAAAATATGCAAGATAAAAGAATATCTGATGCATTTCACAATGCCACCAACACTACCATTTCTGAACCACCTGATGTGGAAATGCTTAGCAGATTAAAAGCCAAGATGGATACATCAAGAATAGGGCTTAGTCATTCAGTGGTAAAGCAAGAGAAATTACCAGAAGAAAAGAAAATATGGAAAGCAAAATACACTGAGAAGAGATATAAATTTAAAAAGCCACAAGAACATGACAGAGAGGATGAGGAACAAGCTTTACAAGAAGCAGTTCCACAGCTGCCACAAGATTTCAGATTCAGCCTACAACTAAAGCAGAAGTCCAAATACATCAAATTTGAAATAGAGCGGAGCAGTTCAGGAAGTAGAAAAACTCAAAATAAAGAGCAAGAGGTAAAACCAGAAACTCTTTCTACGGAAATGATTTTGGGTACTAATCCACACCCAATGATGGATCCATTTGAAGTTGAGAATGTGAAGCAAAGCACAGACAGACCTACAGGCAGAGAAACTGCAGATCCAAAGAATCCTCTTGCAGTGCCAGAGAACTTACCAGTTGGTGAAGTTTTAATTGAAACAACAGAATGTGGTGTCCTATTTGGTGGAAGCCCCAGAAAGACACTGGATGATCATATTGCAGAAGAAAAGGAAGACTTAAAAAGAATTTTACCTGCAGTTGCCCTGGGGTCTTTCATTATCCACATGCTTCCTTTATCGTATTTTAAAAGGCAGAAAATCAGAAAAAAAATACGGGGAACAAAAACTATACTCAGTCCCAAATGTGTAATTATGAAAGTAAAGAAGCCAGCAAAATTACTGGTGCCTGATATCAATAGACATAGTACTCTAAGTCATAGAAAAAGATTGAGAGGCAATTTTAAAACCATAATTAAACAGATGCTGCAAGATAACATTGTGGAAGATGTGCTTCTGAATGTTCTGTACTCTCACATGTCTGTTTTGCCTCATATTAGAACTCACAGCAGATTAAATGCAGAGAATCACAGTCATACGAAGCTAAAACAAGAGAAATCACAAGTTGAAAGGGAAGAAAAGTGTTCAGATTCCATTAATAAAGGAAGTGACTCTGGAAACACACTAGAAGAAGCTAAATTGCAAGATGAAGTGAGAGGGGACAAAGAAGCTCCACAGAGAGCAGTCCTTCATGATAGCTGGAACCTTAGGTTGGATGCATATCCAGAGAGGAAGCTTAAAACAGAGAAAGAAATGCATCAATCAGTCACATCTGCAGAAACCACTGTGGAGTCTATTTACTCCCCCATAATGGATCCATCTCATATTGAGAACATGAAAAGCCTAACAACACAAACAGACTTAAAATGCAATGCAGATTCTGAGATGCCTCCTCCAACATCGGAAAAGTCACTGATTGGAGATCCTTTAAACCAAACAAGAGAAAGTGATGTTCCAGATTATGGAAGTAATACAAAGGAAATGGGTTACTGTTTTGCAGAAATAAAGGCAGAATTACCAAAAGATTTACCAGCAACTTTCCCAGAGACTTTTAATTGCCACATGCCTGTTTTAACTTATTCTAAAGTGAAGAAAAACAGAGTAAGATTCTCGCACATAGAATGTACGGTGAGGCCCAAGTCTGTACATATGAAGGCAGTGAAGCCATCAATTTCACAAACATTTAATATCACCGATCATGGAAAGAAATTGGAATCCAACTTTAAGGCCAAGTTTGAAAAGATCAACCAAGCTAATGGATTGCTATTTGAATTTCTAAATACCCTTTACTCTCCTTTGCATAACAGATTAGAAGGAGAGACAGACAGGTTCTGTCATGCTCTGTTAAAGCAAGGGGAACCAGCAGATGAAGGGAGACCACGGTATGCTGATTTCTTTGATAAGAATAGTGCATTCCATGACAGAGAAGAAAAAGTGCAAGATGAAGGGGAAGTGGAGCAAAAAACTTTGCTAGAAGGAGCTCCACAGCATACCCGATACTTCTGGCCTGATGCATGTCAAGGGAATGAGACCCATCTTGATGAACCAGACCCAGCACTAGACTGTTTAACACAGGAACTGCCTATTAATGAGCAAGACGTGCAGCACCAAACATACTTTACACAAACTGCTTTGCAGACTGGCCTCCAGATGGGTTCTAGTGAAGCTGATGAACTCCAGAAAACCAACAAAACAGAAAATGACATAACAGCCCCTACGGGTCCAAAGATTCTACTTTCCGAAGCAGGGAACCCATCACTTGCTAAACTTTTGAACACTACAACAGAGTGTGGCTTACCATCTGGTGGAAACCCTAAAAGGGAACTAAATTCTTCTTTTGTCGAAGAAAATTCAGAGTTGCCAAAAGATTTGCAAGTGACATTCCTGCAGTCTTCTGATTCTGTTGAGGCGTTTGCTTCTAAATCTAAAAGAAAGAAAAAATCATTAAAATTAGCAAAGAAGCAAACAACAGTGAGTCGCAGATATAGAACTATGAGAGAAGAAAAGCCATCAATTTCACGTATGCTTGATGGCAGGCAGAGCAAGGAACTGCAATGCAATTTTAAAGTGAAGATGAAAAATCCACAGCAAAATAAAAATGTAACAGATGCATTTTTGGATATTATTCATTCCAAGGTACCTATTTTGCCCAACGTCAAAATGAATAGCAGATTAAATGTGGAGACAGATATGCAAAAGATAATAAGACTTGGTCAGACGCAGCTAATGCAAGAGAAATTGCCAAATGCAAGGAAAGTATGTAGCCTAGATTCTATTGATGTGAGTAGTTTACCTAACAGTGTGAAAGATGGGAAGGAGGAGGAGGGGGAACATGAAGCTTTACCAGCTCTAGAGAATAGCCAAGGCTTCATGTTCGATGCATATCAGAAGGATTATGACCTTGTCAAATCAAATGAGAAACTGGAGGAACCAGGAAGTATAAATATTCAGGTACAACCACAAACACATTTTACACAAACTATTTTGAGTTCTGTTTCATGCCCTATATTGGATCAGTTTCAATTTGGAAAGCTAGAGAGCTATGCTAGGTTTTCACCTCCAAAGTCAAGGGAAGCAAAGATTGATAAAATCGTATTTTCTGCAAGAGAATGTGGTGTTCCATCTGATGCAAACAATCAAAAAGAACAGGCTGGTAGCATTGAAAAGAAAAAGACTGTGACTTCTGATTTCTGCTTGTCTGCTTTATCTACATCTAAAAGCAAGAGAAACTTCAAACAATATTCAGAAATGAAAACTTTAGTGAATATCAAATGTGGAATTTTAAAAGCAAAGAAACCATTAATCTCATATATACTCAATATCAAAGGTGGTGCTAGCCCAAACCATAGAAAAGAATTGGGATGTAACTTGACAACCAAAGTGAAAGAGGTGGATCAAGATAAAAATATGGCAGATAAAATGTACTCCTTCATGACTATTACACCTGACATTAATATGTATAGCAAGGTAGAAAGAGAAAAAGACATCTTGGAAGAAATAAGACTCAGTTCTAAGCAAGTAAAGCAAGCAATATCGCCACATGGAGAGAATATGACTTTAGATGACACCAAAAAAAGCAATATTCAAGATAAAGAGGAAGAAGAAAGTGAACAGGAGATGTTATTAAAAGTAATTCTACAGCACAGTCAACATTTCATATTCTGTTCAGGCCAGAGGGAGGAGCTTGACCTCCGGAAATCAGGAAACCAAGAAAGTGGGAAAATTATATTTGTTACAGAACAATATGTCCCACAAGAAATACAGCCTACAGATCCAATGCAGGTAAAGAGGCCAAAGAAAAGCCTCCATACACAAAATGCTATAACACATACAGCGAATTCAAAGCTTCCTCTTCTAAAGGAATCACTAATTGGTCAAGTTTTAATTGATGCAATGAGATGTGGTGTCCCAAGTGATGGGAGCCACATGGGAGAACTGTACAGTCGTAAAGAGGAAAAGGCAGAGTGTGAAAAAGATCCCCAGGCCACTGTCCTGAAGTCCTTGCGTGTCTCCACCCCTGATCTACCTGAATCTAAAAGGCAGAGGAAGACATTTACATGTAGAGCCATAAAAAGTAAAATGAGTCCCAAGTGTGTAATTATGAAGGCACGGAAGGCACCAATTTCACAGATATTTAATATCTCAGGGAATGGTTGTCTAAAAAACCTACCTCCAAAGACCCTGAAATCACACATTATTGACTTTTTAATTTACTTAAAATGCTCCAGGGTACTGGAAGATCTTACTATACAGAGAAAGGAAGGATTAGCACAAGAATTACCAGCAGTGATTCTGGAGTCTTGGGATTTATCCACACTTGCTTTACCTGTGTCAAAAAGGAGAAACAATTTAAAACTTATGGACAAGAGAAATAAAATGAGTCTCAAATATGTAACTTTGAAGGCAAAGAAGGCACCGATTCCCCAGATATTTAATATCATGAAACATGGTACAACAAGCCATAGAAGGCAATTTGAATGCAACTTCAAAACCATGATGAAACAAGGTAAACGTGTGGCAGATATAATCCTCAAGGCCATTTCCTCTCCCATTCCTGTTTCAGTTGATATGAAAATGCATAATAGAATGACAGCAGAGACAGACATGCTATGGAAAACGAGATTCAGTCATGAACTGCAACAGCAAGAGCAATCACCAGGTGGAGGGAGAGCCTGGTGTGCCGATTCCGGTGATAAGCGGGGCAGTGCCTCAAATGGCACGGAGGAAGTCAAAGCCCCAGGTGGAGAAGAAGAAACACAGAATTCTCAACACTTCAGTCTCAATGCGCACAAAATGAAGGGGTCTTACTCTGTGAAATCAGATCTAGAACTGAAGAATTCAGTGAGAAAAAACATCCCAGAATCACTTACCATAGCTCAGGAGCTGCAGCAACAAATACTTTTCACACAGAGTATATTACATTCTATTTCTTGCTGTCTTTTGAATTCACTTCCATTTGAGAAGTTACCAAAAAGAACAAAAACCCAAAAAGGCTTAAAACACACAGGGAGTCCAAAGATTTTATCTCCAATGCCAGGGAAATCAGTTAGTGAATCTTTAATTGTTACAGCACAGAGTGACATCCCATCTGAAAGAGGCTCTAGGAAGGAACTTGCTAGTTCTATTCTAGAAGGAAAGATAAAGTTACAAAAGGATTTACAAGCGAGAACCCTACAGTCTTTTGATTTCTCCATGCCAGCTTCATCTGAACTTAAAGGGTGGAGAAATGCAGCACAAATCCCTAAGCCCAGAACTGGGAAAGCACAGATGGTGTCAGTTTTAAAGACAATCAATATCACTAGGTCTGGTGCCCTTAGCCATGGAAAGGAACAGGACCGCGTCTTGGAAGATATGGCCAAAGAAATAACTCAAGGCATGTCAAATATATTTCTGCATACCTTTCTTTCACCTACACCTGTTTCACCTGCTATCAAAACGCATAAAAAAGTAAAAGCAGAGAAAGGCCCGTTAAGAAAAAAAAGCATTGTTACACAGCTAAAACAAAATGATGGGAAAAGACTGTATACATCTTCTGCTAGTAAATGGAGTATCTCAAGCAACATGTCAGAATCAAGATGGCAAAATGAAAAAGAAAAAGAGGGAAATGAAGTTTTACTTGACGCAGGTCTACAATTCCTGAATAGTATAAGAAGTAGAAAAGATCAAAATATGCCTATTACAGAGCAAGAAGTGCAGCAACAAATGCTGGTTTCAGAAAATATATTGGAGTCTATTCGTCCTCCTCTGATGATTCCATTTCAAACCAAAAAGCTGAAGAAGAACATCCCACCACAAAAAGACATACTATATAGGATACATGAAAAGATTCCATGTCCAAAATCAGGGAAAGCAATGTTTGACAATCTTTTAACTGATGAAATAGAGTGTAGTACTATGTCTGATAGGAACCCTACAGGGAAGCTGCATGTTCACAATGCAGTTTCCCTACAACTTGAAAAAGAAGAGGTGAACAGAAAAACTCAAAAGATAATAAAATGCACAGTTGATCAAAATATCCCACCAACCAAGTCAGAGAACTCAGTGCTTGGAGATCCATGTGATGAAAACTCTAGAAGGAAAGTGGGTGGTCGTATTGCCAAGAAACATGAAGAGTTGCAAAGAGATTTACTAACAATGTCCACGACGTCTGTTTTATTTGAGTCTAAAAGGCAGAAAAAGTTATTTAAATTTCCAGAAAGGAAAGCTCTTAAGGGTCCCAAACGTGTAACCATGAAGGCAAAGAAGCCTCTTTGTTCACAGATACTTAATATCACTGAGCATGGTAATCTATACTGTAGAAAGGAACAGGAATACAATTTAAAATCTACGATGAAAGACATGCAACCAAATGAAAGTATAACTAACGTATTTTCATCTCCCATACCTGTTTCAACTGATAACAAAATAGATATTGAAATGCATCGCACACCAAAAACAGAGATGGATCTACCAAGAGTAAAAATACACAACCATACCTATTTAGAGCAAGAGAAATCACCCTGTGATGAGAAAGCATGGAAGGCCAATTCGACTGATACACAAAGCAGATCAAGCAACATAATGAAAATGAATGTGCAACATGAAAAGGAAGGGAAAAATATCCAAAAAATGTTATCAGAATCAGTTCCACACTTCCGTTTCAGTGCCCATTATGTGAAAAATCCTGGCCCTTGCAAATCAAAATCTGAACTGAATTGTTCAGAAGACAGAAGGACTGGGAATTTATCTTGTACAGTGCAAAAGACGAGGCAAGAAAAACACTTCAGAGAAACTGGTCTGGAGCCTGTTTCTAGACACATGATGAATGTTCTTCAAGTTGACACAGTGAAAAAAAGTCCTCATACCCAAGAAGGAATAAAATGTATGGTAGGTCTAAAGACTCCATTTCTAAGAGCAAGGAAATCAGAGACTGGTTCAATACAATGTGATACTCTCTGGGATGGGAATCCTAGGAGGAAATATGATAGTCTTATTTCTGAGAAAAAGGCATGGAATCAAAATGACTTAGCAAGAACAGTCTTAAAACCTTTAAATTTTTTTAGCCTTGATTCATCTGAACCCAAAAGCCAGAGCTACACATTAGAATTTGTAGGCAAGAAAAGTGTAATGAGTCCCAAGCATGTAACTTTGAAGGCAAAGAAACTACCAATTTCACAGTTGCTGAATAGCGTAATTAAAGAAAGCCACAGGAAAAAAAAGCAGCACAAATATGAGTACAAGACGAAAGAGAGGCCATGGAGTGAAAGTGTGAGAGAGACATTACACAGGAAAAAACTTGGATCCAATTTAAAAACCAAAAAGGAAGAGATGTGGCAAGGTAAAAATGTGGTTGATACATTTCCAAATACCATTTACTTCACATCAGATACCTGTGACATTAAAAGGCAAAGCGAATTCAAAACAGAGATAGACAGAGTATCAAGGTTTAGTCATGTACAACTAGCACAAATGGAGTTGCCAGTTGAAGGGTTAGTGATTTCACAATCACTTAATGCTGTAGGTCATGCTGCTTTAAGCAATGATAAGGAACAGGAACAGAAGACCGATGTCGAGAGAGATAAAACTGTATTATATGTGGACCTGAAATCTATACATGCTTCTATGCCTATTCCACTGCACATAAAAATGGAGCAATCACCTAATACCTGGGATATCTGTGAAGAGTCTTCTGAAAAAAGAAATGCCTTAAACAAAGCAAAAGTTAGGAAGAAAGAAAAGTATGGACCACAGGTTTTGCTTAGAACAGCTCCACCCACCCAGCCCTTTGAGTTTGGAGCGGATCAGAGGAAACAACAAAATACAATGCTGCCTTTAGAATCATGCAGCAACACTGCAAAATATCTGAATGTTTCATTTCCACAAGAAAAGAAATCATCGGATGGGGCACAGATAATTGATTCAATATCAAATGGTAGCTCCCCCAAGCTAAGTGTTAGAAAGAAGGTGCAATCATGTGAGACATATCAAAAGGTACAAAAAGAAGCATGTCTACCTAGAATATTTTTACATTTTCTTTCTGTCTGTAGGCCTATTTTGTCTGAAAGTAAAAGACAAAAGGATAGCGTAAAACAAGGAATTAAGAAAGGCATAATATGCCCCAAAAGAACTTTGAAGTTGAAGAAATCAGTATTTTCAAAGATACTCAATACCACTGACTATGGTACCCCAAGCAACAGACTAGAACTTCAGTGGAACATAAAAGACAAAATAGTAAATATGAAACATAGAAAGGGTAAATCTGATTTGGTTGTGGCAAACATATGTGAGTTTATTACCTCTTCACCTCACCTCAAATTGAATAAAGAGACAATTGATGGGATTATCTCAAATAATGTAAAAAGAACAAAGCAACATGTATTGCATAAAAAGGAGAAAGATAGAATAAAAGGAGTCAATATGAAAGAAATAATGGATCCCAATATTATTTTGAAGGCAAAGAAATCATCACTGCCACGTATACTCGATAGAAAGAGATGTCCTGTGCTGTCGAACACTATAAAACAAGAGAACAAGGTACAGATAGGTAAAAGTAAATCAGGTGTGAAACAGACAAATGTGTGTACTTCCTTACCTTCTCTATCACATCCTAATTTGAATTCAAGAGTAAAAGTAGGAAAAGATAAGTCAGGAATACCAAGGAGATGCCTCCCACCACTGAAGCTCCAGAGGTCATCAAATGTCAGGAAAACATCATTTGCAGAGTCCATTAATGGAGATATTTTAAGCAATGTAATAGAATCAAAACATTTGCCACAGAAAAAGAAGGAAGATAGAGAAAATACAGTCTATGTGAAAGATATAATGGGCCTCAAATGTATCACTCTTAGAGGAAAGAAAACACCTTTTAAACACATACTGCATGGAAAAGAACCACAGTGGAATGATAAAGAACAAGAGAAAATGATTCAGGAAAAGAAAAGTGATCTAGATGCAGTTCAGAATAAACCCCATGCTTCCATTCCTTCTTTACCTCCCCTGGAATGGGGTCCTGGAATAAAAGAAGAAGTATACATGCGAGGAATAACAGGATTCTGTCTTCCATCATTAACACTCCAGGAATTATCACATGCGATGGGAATATGTGAGGAACCAATTGATGATATTTTAAACAGTATTAAAAAAGCAAAATGTATGCCACAGAAAGATGAAAATAGAGTGGAAATGGCTTTGGAAGAAATGAGACACCCCAAAAGAATAGCTTTGAAGGTGAAGCAGTCTCCATTTGCACAGGAATTACAATCAAACATCAAAAAAAATGAGAAAGGGATGCAGGAAGATAAAGATAAACAAGTTAAAACTCAGAGCAAATCTTGTGCTTCCATCTTTTTTCCACCTTACTCTGAAGCAGATACAAGAACAAAAAGAGAACAAGTCATGCTAATAAAACCAAGATCTTCTTTTCTACAACCAAAACTCCAGGAGTCCTCAGATATAGGAAAAATAGTATATAAAACATCTATTTATGGTGATATCTCAAACGGTGTAAAAAAAGCCAAAGAACATATAATGCAGGAAGAAGAGGAGAGAGTAAAAATGGCAAAAGTCATAGCTTCAAATAAAAACAAATCACCAATTTCACAAGAAATCCAGTTGGACATCAAAGAGCAAGAGAAAATGATACAAAAAATTAAAGGTGAACCAAATGTGATTCTGACCAATACCAGCACTTCCATACCTGTTCCTTCTCATTTAAAATTGGATACAAGAATAAAAAAAGCAGACTTTGTAACTGAAGTAACAAGAGACTCTCCTCCAGAACTATCACACCAGAAATCATCAGATGCAGTGAAAAAAGCAAATAAAGAGTCCACTGAGGGTGATGTCACAAGTGATGTACAAGAAGCTAAAGAATATATGTCACAGAAAGAAGAGATCGAGATAGCAGACAAGAAAGACATAATGCATCCAAAAGACAAAGATTTGAAAGGAAAGAAAGCATTTTCACAGGACATACTATTGAATCTTAAAGAGCAGGGGAAAGCGGATGGAGAAGGTGAGGAGCAGGGGAAAGTGGATGGAGACAGTAAAGGTGAACAGGTAGTTGTTCTGTCCACAAATCGGGCTTCTGAATCTTCTCTAACTCATCATGAATTGGATACAAGAATAGAAGGAGAGGGAGGTATACAAGGAGTAACAAGATCTGCTGTTTCCCAACTACAGCTACAGAAATCATTTGATGCAGGGAAAATAGCACATACAACATCAACTGGGGAGGGTATCTCAAATGATGTAAAAATAGTACAAGAGTACGAGCCACAGAAAGGAGAGGATAGACGAAACATAGTAAATATGGAATATATCATGTACCCCAAAGGCACAACTTCCAAGGCAAAGATATTACCATGTCCGCATGTACTCGGTACCCCTGGGGATTGTGGCCCCCAAATTAGAGAAGTACAGATCAATGAAGAAGAACAATTGGGACACAAACAGGAAAGAAAAAGTGAAGTTGATGAGGTTCTGGCAAGACCTTCTGACCCTCAATTTAAATTAAACGAAGGTATAAAAGACAAGGAAGAGAAACAAGGAGTAACAAGACCCTTTCTTCCACCCTCATGGCACAGAGAATCATCAGATGCAGAGAAATTAAAACACACAGTGTCACCTTTGAATGATATGTCAAGTGATTCAAAAAGAACAAAATATGTGGTACAGAAAGAAGAGGATAAAGAGAATATTTTTGAGAAAGACATAATGCATTCCAAGTACGTAGCTTTGAAGGCAAAGAAATCACCCCTTTCCCATATACTCAACACAAGGAAACTGCAAGTGAATATCAAAGAGCAAGTGAAAGGGGGGCAGGAAGGTAACAAGGAAACAGTTGTGCTTCAGAGCAAAATTTGTCCTTTCGCCACTTCTTCAACTCCTCCTAACTTGGACACAATAAAAGAAGAGGCAGGTGAACCAGGAATAATAAATTATGTGTCACATCTTGAGCCTCAAAAATCATTGCCTTTAGGGCAGATAGCATCTACAGAGTCAACTGATAGACATTTAAAGAAAGGAAAACAACATGTGCCACAGAAAGAAAAGGACAGAGGACAAACAGTAGCCATGAATGTCTCCACACACCCCAATGGCACAGATTTCAAGGCAAAGACATCACCACCTCCTCATGTGTTCAGTGCCACTGAGCACAGTGCTCTGAGCAAGAGAAAGGAGCCTCAGTGGAGGATTAAGGAGAGAATAGAACTGGAGCAGGGAAGAATAGGAGACCCTGATGTGACTCTGACAAAAACTCCTCCTTCCACGCCTTCTCCCTCTCACCAGAGATGGGATACAAGAACCAAAGCAGAGAAAGACTTGCTTGCAATTACAGGATTCTCTCCTTCACAATTACAGCTCCCCGAGTCATCAGATGCAGGGAAAATCAGATACGCAGATTCCAGTGGAGATATTGGCTCATGTGATATAATAATAAAAGCTAACCAAAGTATGCCATACAAAGAGGCAAAGGACAGAGTAAACATCGAAGACGGGAAAGGTAGAATATTTCCCAAAACAATAACTTTGAGAGCAGAGATATCCCCACTTACACATCCACTCAACAGAAAGGGACCACCTTTGAATGTTAAAGAGCAAGGGAAAGAAGAGCAGGAAGGCAGAGGTGAGCCAGAAATGGTTCTGAAGGAAACTTGTGCATCCTTACCTCCCCCATCTTACCAGAAATGGGACACTAGAATGGATGAAAAGGAAGACACAGTAGGAATAACAACATCCTATTTTCCACCACTAAAGATTCAGGATACATCCAAGTCAGGCAAAAAAGCATATACTAAGTCCTTTGATGGTCATATGTTAAACGAGGAAGATAAGCTCATAACAGATGTTGAAGACAAAATGTGCCCAAAATATATGGATCTGAAGACAAAGAAATTACCACTTTCACATATACTTGATACCAAAAAATCAAAGTGGAAAATTAAAGAGCAGGAGAGAAAGGTGCAGGAAGATAAAAGTAAGCTAGTTACAAATCTGAAAAGCATTTGTACTTCTTTACTTACGCTACCATATCTTAAATTTGATACAACAGAAGGGGAGGGGTACATGATAAGAATTACAAAATTGCCTCTCTCACAGCTACAGTCCAAGGAATCATCAGATGCAGCAAAAATAGCATATGCAGAAACAATTGATGGAGAACTTTCAAAAGATGTAAAAGAATTAAGAGAGCACATGCTACAGAATGAAGAGAGGGATAGAGAGAAAAATGTGAACATGAATAGTATAGTGGATCTCAATGACGTGTATTTGAAAGGAAAGAAATCACCTATTTTATTTACATACAATCTAAGTGACCTTCAGTGGAATACTAAAGAGCAAGAGGAGAAGGTTCAGGAAGGTAAACATGAGCCAGGTGATGTCATGCTGCCTAATACTTGTGCGTCTAGATCTTCCCCACCTCACCTTAACGTGAAGACCAGAATCCAGGGAGGGAGCATGCTGATATTAACAGAATCCTCTTTTTCCCCAGCAAACTTCCGGGAATCATCAGATTCTGAGGAAGTGGTATATGCAGAGCCAATTACTCATGATATTTTAATCAGTCCACAAAAAAGACACAAACGTATGCCACAGAGCAAGGAAGAGAATGGAGTGGAAACAGTAAACCTCACATTCCCCAAACATCAGGAAAAGAAGATGCAGGAAAGTAAAGATGAACCAGGTGTGGTTCTGAGCAAATTTTCTGCTTCATTACCATCACTCCCTCACCTCAAATTGTCTGAAGAAATACAAGTAGATGATGAAATGCTTAAAAGATCTGTTTTGCAGAGAATATCAAATGCAGGGGAAATAGTACCTACAGAGTCAATCAGTGGTGATCTCATGAAAGATGTTCAAAACGAGAAACAACATAAGCCTCAGAAAGAAGAGAGGGACAAAGAAAAAACAGTAGATATGAGAAGTATGATGGGTACCACAGATATAACTTTGAAGTCAAAGAAATCTCCTCCTTCAAATATGCTCCATAGAACAGAACTGCATCTGCACATTGGAGGGCAAGAACAAAAGAAACATGAAGGTCGAGGTAAACCACTTGGTACGCTGCTGAGAAAAGTTTATGTTTCCAAACCTTCAACTAACCTTACCTTGGATAAAGGTACACAAGTAGATGAAGAAAGCCTTGGAATTAAAAGACCCTCTCTACTTCCACTAATGCTTTCAGCACTATCAGATGTGGACAAGATAGCAGAGACAGAGGCAATTGGTGGCGATGTAAGAAAAAGAAGACAATATATGTCTCAGAAAGAAAAAAAGTATAAAGTGAAAACAGCAGATATGAGGATTAGGATGCATCACAAGGAGGCAAGGATTTCACATATCCTTAATACAAAGGAATTTGTGTTGAATATTAAAGAGCTGAAGGAAAGAGTGCACAAAGGTAAAGATGAGCCATGTATGGTTCTGACAAGGACTTTTCTTTCCATCCCGTCAGCGCCTCCCCTTTATCTAGATTCAAGGAGCAAACTAGACAACGATGCACCAGGAATTACAGGATCCTCTCATCCACAGCAAAATCTCCAGGAATCATCAGATACCCAGACAGCAGCAATTAGAGAGCCAGTTGCTGGTGATGGTGAAATCCTTGTGGAAAAAGCAGAACACTCTGTGCCGTTAGAAGAGGCAGTGCAGCAGTGGACCTCAAACTTCATGATCAGTGTACAGCGAAGAGAGGAACCTCCACGAGTCAAATCTGAAGGAGATTTGAGACAGTTCCTTTTAAATTCACAGCACGAGGACATTTATTTCACAGGATTTGGTACCATAAGAAGTGGAGAAAGGCTGGAATGTTTTTTTACAGGGCGAGAGGCTCAGCCAGAAAATTACAAAACAGAAACTTTTACTACATTTCTTTCCTATCCCACAATGGGTCCAACTAAAATTGAAAATCTGAAGAAAGAAACTGAAATAATGGATAACTTAAACCATAAAATGAATCCTCAGGTTTTAGTTTCACTGCCAAGGAAAATATCCAAGGAAATACATGTCACAGTTGGCACCCCTGTAAGTTCAAGAGGATTTTCTGTTTCAGAGCAAGATGCCCACCAACAAGAAACTTTATCAAAAGCATCTCTAGGATCTGCAGATTCATATAAATTTGATAAGCCAGGGAATTATGTACAAAATAATGATAAAATAAAGAAAATGTTCTCTCCTACAGTATCAGCACCACAGACAAAGAGGTCACTTGAGAAAATGAATATCATAGAGTCGAATACCCCCCAAAATATAGAAGAACAAGAAGTTGTCATGAAAAAGCAAGTGGTACTACGGTCTCAAAGTGGACACAGGACCAGGTTGAACTCTAGCCTTTCTCTTAAGTTTCCACTTCAAAATGGAAAGCAGAAGACACCATTGGAAATAGATGTACACAAGCAAACTATGGTGTACCCTGGAATACAAATACTACCAGGAGTACACATGGATATTACAGAGTTTGATTCCATAAAAGGAAAAAAAGAGCAGGCATTGCTTGTTCCAGAACAAAAGGAAAGTATTCTAGAATCACTTCAGAAGTCTTTTTACCCCCGCTGGACTCTTCCGCTTCAATCTGGACATCTGGAGGAAAAAAATGAAACTGACACTAGCACTACTATAAATCTGGAGCAGAAAAAATTAGACGTGGAAGAAGGGAAATTAAAAATAGACACAAACATAGCTGTCCATCTGGAAGAGGACAAATTAGAAATGCACAAACCCACCACTGTCAATCTGGAGAAGCAGAAAACAAAAGTGGACACAAGCAGTACTGTAAACCTGAATGCTCCATCTCTAAAGAGAGACGAATCTCAAATTAAGACTCAGGCTATCACTCATATGGCAAACAGCCACTCAATCAAGCAAAGATATAAAAAGGAACTGGAAGCGTCTGGTGCAAAGCAAAACATTCAGCTACAAAAATTGTTTCAAAAACATGTTCTGGATTCATTTTATGCCTATATTCCTCTTTCTCCCAAATTTGAAGGCTGGAAAGGCAGATTAACAATAGCAGATTTTAAAAGAGAATTGAGCCCCAAATATTTAACTATAAGAATGCCAGATCATCCAATTTCACAGATTCTTGGCAACACAGGACATGGTACTCCAAGCAATAGAAAGAAATTAGAGTATGACTTTAACAAACCAGAGAAAGTAGGTTCGTGCGGTGAAGATGCCTCAGGGATATTTATCAGAAGTCTTTCTATTTCTATGTTGAGTCCGTCTCAGTCTGAAGAAACAGTAGAATCTGAGACAAACCTAAAAAGAGAAAAGAGAATCTGTCTTTCTAAATTCCTGGAGAAATCACCAAACACTCGTGAAGTTGTTAAGAGGAACAGCTTGAGCACTTCAAAAAAAGGGGACCAGAATTTTACAAACACAGTTCCACAAGATTCCCAGCCCTTTGTAGTGGACCAGCAACAAATGCAAAAACTTCCTTGTGTCAAATCAGAAGCAAACTTCAGCAGTGAAATAAATAAAAAAACTTTAACTCCACAAACAAAAGAAAAGGCTGTTCCAGAGCATGATATCTCAAGGACCATAAAAGAACCTGACTTGCTTATGGTGGAGCAAGAAGGAAAGGCACCAAATCCCATTCTGACACCCACAGAGTGTTCATCCATGTCTGAAGATCCAAAGGAGAATGTGGAAACCCACGTGAAAAGTACCATCAGTATGAGTAGTTCCCCTCCAGGAGTAGAAAAACCACAACATGGGACTCAGCCATTTGATACCATGGAGTGTGCCTCGCCACCCAAGCACAGGGATCAGAGCGAACCCTTATGGGACACAACCACACAAAAGGTCCAGCAACAAAAGATGTTTCCAGGAACTGTGCCTGTACCACCCCAAGAGAAAAGTAATGAAACAGAAATAGTGGCAGATAGCGTAAGTGCAGAAAGTTTACTTCTTCTTTATAAAGCAATTAAAAATGTCTTTGAATCCCAGGTAAAAAATTTGATCCAAGACAAAGTTTATGCTGATATGCTAGAAAAAGTTAAAGCCCATAAACCTGATGATTGGAACTCACCTTTTGCAGGGGGTCCAGATACAACATCCACAAAAATACATCCCAAATTGCAGCCAAAACTCATTTTAGAACGTTTTACTCCCAAAGAAAAAAATAAGCTTACTAATCATTTAGAGTCAAAAGCACTTGAAATAAAACTGAATCTGATACCAGAGATAGCAAAACAATCCTTCCAAAAGTTCAATTTTTATCCAAAATGGGCTATTTTGGAAGATAACAATTGGAGGCTCTATCCAAGACAGAAAAATATGTGCTTTTTGTCTCTAGAAGGGATTGATACTATAGAACTTAACTTAAAACACCAATACCAAAATGATTCACCTCCTAACAGCTATATGAAGACACTGATTGTTAATGTTTCTAGTGGCAATGAGGAGATCTTTACAAAGGTAAAGAGTATTAATAAGCTAGAAAGTGGAACATCTTTAGTGACTTCTGCTAATGAGATGCCATTGCCTCATATTCTCCAAAATTACTCAGTAGAAGAAAAAGACAAACTTCTTAGACACTTTTCTATGAAAACATTGGAAATTCAAATGAAAGCCTTTTCCAGAATTGTAAGAGAATCTTATGAAATAGCTGATGCTCAGGATAGAAGGAAACATTTCTCTAAATGTATTAAGTCTGGTGTTAAAATACCAAAATGGAAAAACAGAATTTTGTTACTTTTTGATGAAAAATCTCTTCATCAAATAGATCTTGATTTACAATACAAATACCTTCGTTTTCTCCTGGGGCTTCCAGGCAAAAGTATGTTGCCTAAGCCAAATGCACTTCCCAAACATATTCTTAAATTAAACACCGCTGCGATATGTAAATCAGGAGATGATAGTAGAGAAAGTGGTGGTCTTTCCATTGATACAGGACTATTAGAAGAACATACCTCTATCAAAAAGCAAAATCCCCGTGAAAACTCATTATTGACCAAGAAATTCCTGGAACCAACTCGTGTGTGTGCTTCTGACCCTGATCAACACGGCACAGTGCAGAAAGATGCTACAGTTCTTTCAGAGTTAAAATCTTGTATGACTCCAGAAAAAGATAAACAATATCATGTATGGTTTCAAGAAACAAATGCATATGAATATTTTGATTTAAAGACTCAGGAAAATGCTCTTAGTTTAGCTGATTCTCATTCAATTCAGATTCCTGAAGATTTTATTGATAGTCAGCCAAATATTGAGAGTTCAGCTAACTTGGAGGAATGCTCACCTCTTAAAGTACATGAGAGTGAAGAATGTATATTTTTAGAAGCCAACCCTTATTTAAATCAGGAATCACAAAACATTCTACTTGAATTACAGAAAGGCATTCCCTTGAAAAATCTCTTCAAGATGAAAAAAATCAAAACTGATTTGAAACCATTTTACAGTGAAAATTCAGGTTCGCATTATATTAGAGGCTGTAGAAAACATTCCTCAGTTGTGACACCACCTTCCTACGAATCCCACAAAAGCAGGAAATATAGGTCATCCTCCAAAATGCGATCTCCTGATTGTTTGTGTCACAGTTCATTAAATGCTGTGGAAGTTCCGTCTGTATCATCTTACATTTCATTCAGTGAAGAGAAGCTCTCATGGACTACAATGAGCAGAACAAGTTACTCTTTAGCTCCTTTAACGGAATCAAATATTAAATTACATCTTGCAAAAAGCCAAGGCAAACCTCACAGGCATCCAGAAAGCAAAGAAAGAAAAAAGGCCAAATTTGATTTATTTAGAAAGAATAACATTCATTGGGACTGTGATTACAGTTGTACACAGAGTAAAGAGAAACACACAAGAAAGAAGATAGTGTGTGATTATGAGTCAGAAAGATCGGATTATTTCCCAAGGAAACATAAGTCAGCATCAAAACCTCACCAAGAGGATTTCAACTTCCATTCTGAAAGAAAGCAAGGCCAGCCATTTTTTTATGCCTGTACACCAGCAGACTCACTAGAGATTATACCCAAAACCATTTGCTGGACTGTTCCTCCAAAAACTTTAAGGAAGAGAAACTTCAGAGTTCCCCTGGTGGCAAAGATTTCAAGTTCTTGCAGTATATGGAGTTCATCCAAAAAGTTGTTGGGGTCACTCTTAGAGTCCTTCAATCCAGGTCATCAAAATTGATTTAACCATATCTAGAGTCCTCTGAAGTGTAAGGCTGGTGGCTATTTTGGTATTCCGTGAAAAATAAAATCATACAAAGTCAAATGGCTTCCTCATGAAGTGTTTTCTAAACTGATATGTTTTATTTTTGCAGTAGATTTGTGCAGTTGTTCTGGGAGGTCTGGATGGGAAAGCAGATGACTTTGGGTTTGGTCCTCCCATGCATGAGATCTCCTTTTCGTTCACACTGCCTCCTCGTAATCCCAAGACGAGAGGACCACAGACGCAGAAGCCCTCTTCCCATCCACACCCATGGCTGAAGTGTGAGTTGGAGGAAATGTAACCTATAAATGAGATTGAGAGAGAATGACCAGAAAGTTAGGAGGGTGTGGAAACGAAAGGGAGAGAGTTTCAGATCGCAGTGAGGGCTCAGCAATGTCAGATGTCACAAAATACCGAGGTAAGTACTGGTTTTGAGACCCCAGATCCCTCTGACGGCTTTGTCCTCACGCCTGGCCTCAAGTGGAGCCCACAGCAGCTTGATGACCGTACCTGATCACCACGTGCCGACACTGGGGCATCAAGTCTCTTCGTCACTGCACAGGAACCTCCTCCGGGAGAGGCAGGAGGCCATCCTGCAGCGCAGCCAGGAGAAGGGAGACCACTTCTGGGTGGACCTGCGCTACCTGCCCTACCGCCACCTGCACGTGCACTTCACTGCCCTGGGCTTTGAGGCCCCTGGCTCGGGGGTAGAGCAGGCTCACCTGCTGGCAGAGGTGACAGAGAACCTGGAGTATGATCGGGAATGCCACCAGCAGTGCACCCTCACCTTTGCCCACAGGGCTGATGACCTCCTGCTCAAGCTCTTCCAGGAGGCCCAGAAAACCTGAGTTGACCCAGGAGCTGTCAGGAGAAGAACACAGATGTGTGGGATCGGGGGTGGTGGGAGGAGGGGAGAGATTTTTAGCACCAAGTGAATTTTTAAAAAGTGTATTTTGTACTGGCATATTCCTAGTATGTGAGTAAAGTATTGGTCTCATTTGGAAAAAAAATTTTTTTTGGCTCATAAAACTCCCATAATGCTAATTATTTTCTTATTATAATGACGAGACAGAGGATAGTGTTTCATATCACTGTTACATTCATGCTAGGGATAACAATGCTTTCTCTATTATAAATGCTACTTGATCTTTTTATTTATTGATTGATTGATTGATTGTGAGAAAGATTAGCCCTGAGCTAACATCCATGCCAATCCTCCTCTTTTTGCTGAGGAAGACTGGCCCTGGGCTAACATCTGTGCCCATCTTCCTCCACTTTATATGGGACGCTGCCACAGCATGGCCCGACAAGCAGTGCAACAGTGCACGCCTGGGATCCAAACCCGGGCCGCCAGCAGCCAAGCATGTGCACTTAGCCACTAGGCCATGGGGCCGGCCGCCTTGATCTTTTTAAAACGTGCTTAGAATATTTGGGATGCTTAATAAAATAAAAAATTATAAAACATTCCAATTTTTTTTTACTAAGCATGCACTATAACCATATAATAGATTCTGTAATCAATCTGATGGTCTTGGCATCTTATGTGAGTTATGTCTGTTGGGTTTGAAAATCATATTGAATATTTTAATACTTTTATTATAGAGAATTTGGAACAGACACACAAAAAAGAATAGTATGACAGAACTCTATGTACCCTCGCCAGCCCTCAAACTTTAACCTATAGCCAAACCTGCCTTATCTATTTCTCATCCACTTCTCCATTAGTATTTTGAAGCAAATCACAGCTATATAATTTTATCTATAAATATTTTATATATCTCTACAAGATAAGAACTACTTTTTAACACAACCATCTCACACCTAAAACGTAACAATTTTTTGAGATCAAATGTTCTGTTAGGTGTTTTCCAATTATGAATGTTTGAATTTGGATATAAAGAAAGTCATGCATTGTGCTAGGTTTTTTTAAGTCTCTTTTAGTCCATATGTTTCTTATTTCATCCTTTTTTTTTCTTGCAATTTTTCAAATTGAAGAAACTAGGTTGTTTGTTCTGTTGCATTTCCACAACCTGCACTTTGCTAATTGTGTCCCCAGTGGCAGATTGAAATTATTTCACTTTGGAGTCCCAGTTGTTCCTTAAAAGGTCTTCAAATAGATAAACAGTGTGCAGCATTTAAAATAAAATGTATTATTTCAGAAGATTGCCTGTCACTTTTGGCAATGCAAATTCAAGCTGTTACAGCTACAGGGTGTTATATAATTATATGTTATATAGAGCTGTTATAGAGTTAGAGCTGTTATATCTGCAATAGCAAAATTTCTTACCATAAATGATAGGGTGGGACTGAGTGACTAGACCTTGTATTGTGAAGAACTAGCACTGAGACATCAAATGTCATCATTTGTCAATAGAAAAATATTACAAAATTTTGAATACAAAATCAGATATGAAAGGGCCTATTTAATTAGAATGAGAAAAGAAATCAATACATATTTCAAATTTTGTAAAGCCAATCAAACCAAAACCATCCTGAGTCCAGAAAAATAGCATTTTTAACTGCTTAATACACTTTTTTCCTACATTTTCTGGCTGCACAATCTTTGATCTCCTCTTCATAAAACAACAATTTTGTAATATAAATTTTCATGTAGAGATCAAAAATAAACCAATATTTTAGTGGTTGATCAAATTTTTTATTATTGACAATTTAGAAAATTCAGGCACTTTTCCTGACTCAGTGGCAATTTTACACACCGTTTCATCTGGTACCACCAGACGTCATCAGAACAGGACACATCCAGTATGGTAAGATGCAAGCCAACAAGCTGAGATGCATAAAATGTGTTGCTTCACATACAGATGCCCTTGCTGTTCGTGGCACTGGTACAGGTCTGTACTCCAGATACAAACTGTGGTAAACTCTGTGTCATGCAATCAAAAAGTAGAATAGAGTAAATGTATCATGCATGCTCTGCTCTTTTGACTGTATTCCTGTTGGAAAAGAATGTCCCTTTTGACCAGGTGTTATAGAGAATGATTTAGCAGCTCATGATTTTACACCCCTGATGAATGGAGGACTTTTCCACAGACTGTTGTTTATACCACACCTTCCAAGTCTTGTTTCTCCTCTGTTATGCACACTCCCCCTGCACTGGGCGCTGTAGGAAGCTGTCACAATGTGATACAGCCCCTGGCCTTGCACCCTTCTGTCCCAACCTGGGACATGTCCTTCACAGAGGGCAGAAGGATTCCTGGAACACAGTTCTACACCTGGATGGCTAGTATAACTACAGACAAAAGAGAAAGTCAATCACATAAACATTTAGCGCACTAAACCCAAACTAAATACATCCTAACTCAACTTGCCCTGAGCTCATCCCAAAAATGTTTGCAGACTCTCCAATCTCACCAAACATGGAGTCAGATGTGATGGAGGGTAAGTCAAAGTGGGAAGAGATAATACTTTCAATGAATTGCAGTTAATACCTCTCATTTTTACAAATCTTTGAGGCCCTGAGGCTCAAGCTTCTGTAGCTTTTATGGTACATCTGCTTATGCAAATCAGATAGTATTTATTCAGTATCTACCACGTGCCAGGCCTTGTCCTAAGTACTGGACCTAAGAAAAATGAACAAAGCACAATCTTGACTTGAGAAGCTCACAGTTACAGGTCAAGAAGAGACAGTCTTTTCAAAGCTCTGTAACACACTCAGACACACGCATGCATACATAAACAGCCTGGTGGCATCTCTTCCCCAACACACACGCATATGTTACTGGTATCTTTGCTGGAGAAAACAAAAGCAGTTCTGAGGCCACAGTTATTTGGCCTAAGCCATTTATCAAGAGTTACCCATTTGGAGTGGATGTTGGCAAAACAATGAACATCCAAGCCAAGACTTCTGGTGATCCACATGGCCTGGCTTCTTTACGAGACAGAGACTCTGAGGGAGCTGGGAAGCATGTGTTTCCTCTTGGCTTTAAATACCCAAGTTATAACACATGCTGATGGTGTAGCCGTGTGCCATTAAAACTGGAGCGAGAGATTTATGCTTGAGTTTTAAGGTAATGAGGGAACTTGGGAGGGCAGGGTGGAGAGGGTGTTTGTCGTAACCTATCTCCCGCAAGATGTAGACTTAGGTCTGAGAATTTCCTAGTTCTACTGCACACAATTACACCCCTCAAGGGCCTTGACTTATTACTTGAAAGAAATAGAGAAAGCAACATCAATTCATCCTTAAGTCAGAGTTCTCAAACTTTCTCAGCACCCTTATTGTCTCTAATTTTTTCATTGCACCTCTAGGCCAAAATAAGTAGCCAACAATTCTTTGTATTAAGTAGCTTAGGTCCAAACAACTTAATTATTATTTATATCTTAACTTTGGAGTTGTTTGAAAAAATAATATAAATCGAAAGAAAAAAACTTTTATTTAATCCTTAAATAACCACAGTTACTTACTAGTGGGATGTGTGTGCCTGTTGGGCGCTGCACAACTTTTCAGACTTTGGAATCAGATTGGACACTCCACACTGATTTTTGTGCAGTACTTGCTTTTATTTCAGCAACAGCTAAAAAACTCAGCTTTACAAAGAAATTACATAATAGAAAGGAATGTAGCACCATCTAATAAGGAGACTCAACTACTTTGAGCTAGTAGTTCATGCAGAATCCAACAGATGTCGCTGTGTTTCCCTCACAATATAAAAATATTCCACATGGCCAAAGGGCACATGTTTGGAACTGCCGCCTTAAACTTGTTGCGATGCTCTGTGTTTATAGTTTGTTCAAGAGCAGGTCTTCAAGAACAATAGGACAATGAGAGGTGGTATGCTTGGGGCAAGGGAACAACAGAGTAGTGAGAGACTAAAGCTGGATTCACTTCTTTCTCCCACCAGATTACCCCACATACACATAGTCACTCTAATTTGAGCCATTTTACTTGTGTGACAACAGAACTCTGGTGGGCCTTAGTACATTTCCATAGTCTATTCACTCCCAGCTCTCCTAGCTGACTATTTCATACCTTTGCTTCTTAAACCTCAAATGC